ACCGCAATTGCTGCTCTAATTCTCTCAATTTTGCCTTCAATTTCACAGCTTTTGCCTGCAATTTTCTTGTGGCATCTTCAAGTTCATCTTTTTGCTTTTCCATTGCATTGATCCTCCTCAAAAGCCCTAGTATCAACTCCACAGACCAACGGGCACATCTCTTGATTGATCCAATCCCAAAACCCACACCCACCGACTTTTACAGAGCAAACAGCATACCTCCTTCCTGGATTTCGATCCATCCGCAAAGTTATCATCTTTGTTACTTTCCCACATTGGCATATGGAGAGGGGAGGGCTGCGAACTCTGTGCATCGTTGCACTTGACTAAGACATCTTCTGCTTTTCCTTTCCTTCGTCTCTGCAACTCGCAGATGATAATATGGAGGTAGGGTTTCTTCCATTACATGTGTTGGAGTTTTTGATCACTTTTTCTAAGTTTGTGCGAACAAAAACACCCTTCACATTTGTGGTTGCAGCTCTTGTTGTGGGTTTACCGGTTGAAAAACTGGCTAAACTGACTAAAAGGGTCACATGTGTACACTTTTATAAGTTAAAGGGGTAAAAGTCCTCACTTAATTGTTGAGGGGCTAAAAGTTAAACAAGACAAAAAGTTTAAGAGTCATCCAGGTTTTTTACCCTATCAATAAAGTGTCTTGCACAATCTTCAAAAGCTGTGCAACGCTATCATAAAAAAAAAAAAGAAGTTGTGCAACGTTGATTTGGCTGCCAATCGGGGTTTGTGAGTGGCACTTAGTAAGCCCAAGTTTGACTCACAATTATAGTAACATTTTTGGCTTAGAGATTTTAGGCTTTGAATTCATAATATGAGACCCATACTTAACTCACAGATACATTAAAGTTTCGGATCTAATTTATACACAGTTAACTCATAATTATACATAATATGTACTAGAATTGAATTCACACCCAATGTGTGTGCAATAAAAAAATACATAATATTTATAGTTATATATTTTAAATAAAATTTTTACTACTGAAGCAATATTTAAGCTTTTAAATATTTTTTTCATAAAATAATCTTATATTGGTAATTGTAATGTTTAGGAGTAGTTATACTGAAAACATAAACTTAAATAGTTAAAAATAAAAATAATCATTCGTAGTTATAGGTAGTTAAAGTAAAAGTAATTTTTATAAGGGCATAAAAGAAAATTCATAAAATGACGATAAATGTTAACCCAATGTTAACTCCAAACCCCTTCCTCAGACTTTATAAATGGTATACATATTATATCATATTTGTTATTTATACACATTTAATAATTAATAAATAATAAATTAGGTATGTTGTAGTATGTATAGATATTAGATTATACACATCATTATATATATATATATATATATATATATATATATATATATAATTTTTTTATTTACTTATTCAAAACAGGTTTTTATTGAGTTGAGCCTAATATGATCCAAACACGACTCACAATTTAATTGAGCCTCATGTTTAAACATAAGTTCAATGCAGTATAATAATATAAAAGACTTGGCCCTAAATTTTTAAGGCTGAACTCGAGTTCGCCTAACCCGTTGACAGTTCTACATTTGGCCAAGCTATGCAGTTCATAATGCAAACTACAACTTCAAAGTGTTTTTAGTTGTTAACCTATGTTGGGACGAATCAGCCATTCTTCTTTATTCGCTATGTGCATATGCATTTTCTTCAGTTAGTAAGTAAATTTTATCAAATGAATATAACAATATTACCTGAAAATGAAAATAATATTACTCAGTCACCGATCTCAACTTCATTTATGAATATTGGGAACTCGAAACGCAGAATTATGGGTCTTGAGTATTATCCTGTTATATCTTTTATTCTTTTACAAAAATGATGCTTATCCTCTGTGTGACAGGCAATTTACCAACAATTGTATAAGAGTGAAAAACCACAAGAGAGAAAAATGCTTTGATGCCTTTTCAAGAGTATCTTTGAACTCGAATTTGATTTAATTAGTTTGAACTCGACTCAAATTCAATATTGACTAATCTCAAGTCGAACTTTGATTCAAATTACTCTCGAGTGATTCGAATTGCATGCAGTCCTAGAGAGGAGCACGACAAAAGCTGGTGGTTAGACTAATGTAGGAATGTGCTTGCAACAATTTGTGTACCATTTTGGGCTGACAGATTATTACTCAAGTCCCATTGGCTAAAGACAGAACAGGACCAAATCCTGCATGAGGTTGAAGTTAAAGGTAGGACAGTCTCAATTTTGACTAAACCGCCACACGTTGTAGTTTTACAAGCTACATTTTGAATATGACTTCCCTCCGTTACACCACAACAAAATTATTTTCAATATTATACCAAAATACATGTATTCTTCATTAAATATTCTATCATACATAGAAAATGAAACTGAATTGACTAATTTGTGCCATTCGATTAGTTGTTGTTACCAATCTCATGGTTTTGACCCATTTTGACCATCGAAATATATGTACAAAAAGTTAGATTTGATTATTAAGTATGTTGATGTACTTACTGAACAAATATAATAATTTGATTTCGTAACAATTTTAGTCATCAAAACGTAAACGTATGTATAAATTTTTAAAAAGTAATGGGGAGTAACCCAATCCTTTTTAATATGCTATAGAAACGCATCAATAATCCATAGAAGGTAAGTGTTCGCGCTAATATAGCATGTCCAAACCAAGGCACAAAATTTCTCCAAGAAAAACAACAAAAGAACCTGAGAACTAACTAAATCTCTCCGCAGAAGAGTCAGTCTTATATTGCATGCATGGTAATACATTAGCATATGCCTCATAGAATCAGGCAATGTTCAAGAAAGTGGTCACAGAAAGATGAAATGATGAATTTCTGATGATTAATTCCTTGAATTATAATTTTACTCGGATACGTAGTATACAAAATATTCTTAGTTAAAAAATATATTAATTCTAGAAATATGTGAAACAATTGTTGTATTATAAGAATGTATGCATATATATATATATATATATATATGTACCAAAACATTTAAAATTAGATTAGATCAAGGGCACCAGATAGCATTTGTACATAGGGACGGAGCCAGAAATTTATTTTTGGGGGGGCTGAAGTGTATTAAAAATTTTTTTTTGTGACGAAATAAATATATTTAATAAGTAAAATTTAGAATCAATAATTATAAAAATAATAAAAACATATAATTATACATACCCAAAAATTTGTTATTGATTAACACTTGAAGTATTGGTAATTGTTGCACTCGAATAACGAAGAGGAGGCAATTGCATTCTGCGAGTCTTCATCCGTTGAAAACGCTGCAATATTTGCTCATTTTCAATTGTTGCAAAAATATCCTTCTCGATGTATACAACCAGACAGTCATTCATCCACTCGTCTCCCATTTTGTTGCACAAATCAATCTTGACAATATTCATTGCAGAAAATACTCTTTCAACAGAAGCAGTCGCAACTGGTAGAACTAATGCCAACTGGATCAGACGATAAACCAATGGAAAAACTGTATTTTTACCAGTTTTAGCCATTTGTTGAGCAAGACTTCCCAAATCTCCAACTTCTGAAAATTGAGGATCGCGTTGCACATTATAAATATAATTTCGAAGTTGAGACTCAAGATATAAATAATCGTTACTTGAGAAGTCTTCAGGATATAAATCAGCAAGACGGAGTAGTTTCTGCACATTGAATTGAGAGAAAGAACTTTTTGGATCAAGACATGCTATGCAACTAAGCAATTCCGTGCTAACTTCCGAGAAACGATTATTCATCTCTTGTATAATTAAATCAACAACCTGACATCACAACAATAATAAAATTAATAACTAAGAAAATCTGCTAACAAGTAACAAATGTAATGAAATAATAATTTCAAAAATAATACCTCACAAAAAATTTCCACGCGATAATGATGAAAATTAGTGATGGTTTGACCTCTGCGACTGCGCCTGGCATTGCCACGGATTGCTATACTGTCTTCCATATCAATCACGGGAATCATATTCAACTCACAAAAATTGTTGACTTCATCTAAAATTATTTGCCATCCCTCTTCCCTAAAGTCTTGCAATTGAGATTTCATAGTATCAATCAAACTCATGGCTTGGACAATATTTTGATCCCTTTGTTGCAAAACAAGTGACAAGTCATTTGTGATTCCCAATAAATACTTCATCAGGTGCAATGCAAAAATAAACTCATAATCATTCATTCTATCAATCAAACCCCTGGCCATACCTCTATTGTCAGAAGTGGTGGCATCATCTTGTATATTTCCCAATATTCCAATCACCGAAGCCCACATAGAGGATAGACGAAGTAATGTTAGATAGTGTGATCCCCAACGAGTATCCCCTGGTCTTGCTAAACTAGTTTCTTGATTTTTGCCTTTTCCACTAATAATATCTCCACTGTCTAAAAGTGTAACAATCTTATCATGTTCTATTTGTCTTAATTGATCTCTCCTTTTACATGATGCTCCAGTTAAATTGACAATCATAGAGACATAGACAAAGAATTCACTGACAATGATCTTTCCCTTAGCAACAGCAACAATAACTAACTGGAGTTGGTGAGCAAAACAGTGAATATACATCGCATAGGGATTTTCTTGTAATATAAGGGCCTTCAAACCATTGAACTCACCTCGCATATTTGAAGCTCCATCATATCCTTGACCTCTCAATTTGGATAATGATAATCCGTATTGCGCGAATAAAGAATCAATTGCATCTTTCAAACAAAGAGATGTGGTGTCAGACACATGTACAATTGCAAGGAAACGTTCAATCACACGCCTTTCTTTGTTCACATATCTCAAAACAACTCCCATTTGCTCTTTCACTGAACTGTCTCGAGACTCATCAACTATTAGGGAAAAATAATTGTCTCCAATATCATTGATTATAACACTTGTGATCTCTGAGGCACAAGCATGTGCCAGATCTTTTTGAATCATTGGAGAAGTTAGTTGATTATTTGCAGGAGCATTTTGATTTACAACCTCAAAAATCTCAGTATTTCGCTGCTATACCACTCAAACAATTCAAGAAAATTGCCTCTATTTGAAGAACTAGTTGACTCATCATTTCCACGAAAAGCCAATCCTTGCTTCAAAAGAAAGCGGGTCACATCCAAAGCAGCAGTTAAACGGGTGCGATATGCATTATCTATTTCGCGCCCACAAGATCGTAGCACATTTGACACACTATGCCTTTGATCTTGAAAACTTTCAAACTGTATTCTAGCATCATTATGGCAACTATTCACAGCTCCAATATGTTCATTAAATCTTTCCATTGCCTTTTTCCAATTATTGAATCCCGTTTTTGTAAAGGCATCCTCTGCATATCGACCTCCCTTATTTTGTGTTTTGAAAAGAAAGCACCAAAAGCAAAACGCCGCATCTTTCGATATGCTATACTCTAACCATACAAACTTTTGATACCAACTATCTTGGAAACTTCTATGTTGTTTACCAAATGATGTTTTTGGATACATATGGCCAATCGGTTGGCAAGTTCCCCTAGTCAAATACTCTCTTCGGACATGGTCTCGAAGAGAAATATCAAATTTCTCAACTGATTTTCTTAATCCCGGATCACTAACAATATCATTTAAATTCAATTCCACACAAGATTGATTTTGAACTGGTTCACTAATATTAGGCTCATTTGAAGATTCACCACTACGGACTCGTTTAGGTTTAAAGAATCTCTCCATTTTCTGTCACAATTAAATAATTGTGGTTAAATTCAATAAAATTATGCAATTCAATAATCAATTAATTTAAAATTCATATAAATAATTCTTTAATTTAATAATAAATTCATATTACGTATATTTCTCAATTTATAAAATTCATTATATAAAATTATCAAAAAGTTAAAATAAGGTACAACTAAATACCCATATAATCTCTAATTCAATCTCATAAAATTTTGAATTTATATTTACATTCAAAATTTCTAATTCACATAATTAATTCTTAAAATTTCAAATATAAAACTAACAAAATTTTAAAAACTAAATACAACCTAAAATCTATACAATTTCTAAACTAATTTCCAATTTAAATTTAATATCATTAAATTTTTTAATGTAATCTTTCAATTCTTAAATTACATTAACATAAACTAAATAAAAATTAATCTTAATCAAATTAATATCAAGATACTCAAAATTCAAAAATAATTTAAACATATAATTAACAAAAATATAAAGATGAATATTGTAATTTAAACCAAAAACTAACTTAAAAGATTTATGTGAATGGAATGGACCGAATGGTGGAGAGTTGGAGTCTTGGAGCCTTGAATTGAAGGCTTGAAGCAGGATGGTAGAATCTCAACTGAAGCTTCTTGGAGTTCTTGGAGCCTGGCGTCTTCTTCTTGGAGTTGGAGTCTTGTTTGCCCTTTGGCACTGGCGGCGTGCTTTTGCATCAGATGAAGCCCTAAGGCTTCATCTGATGTATTTTTTTTTTCCCCTCATTATACAAAACGACGTCGTTCCACTAAAAGTGAAACGACGTCGTTTTGTATTTAGAGGGCAAAAAAAAAAATTCAAAATGAAATGAGTCATCTTCTTCCTCAGCAGTCAGCACGGCAGCGGCTTTCCAGCTCTTCTTCACTTCCTCTGCAGCATTCATGGAGCCATGGAGGATGGTAGTCGGTAGATCTGGATCACCGTGGGGGGGCTGGGCTGGGCTGGGCTGGCCGCCGGAATCCCCTATATATAGGGGGTTTTCCGGCGGCTTGGGGGGGGGCTTAAGCCCCCACCAGCCCCCCCTTAAATCTGTGGCTGTTTGTACATTGTAATATAGATAATTAAACCACAAAAGTAGACAATAATGTACCACATGAATAGACTCACATAACACAAGTATGTATGAGTATCGTTCAACAATTGGTTTGTAGGCTTGGGGCTTGAGAAGAGATGAGTTGGATGATTCGGATGAAGTATAAGTAAGAGATTTCGGATTCAATCCTCTCACTTATGCTATAAAAAAATTAAAACAAAAACCAAACAAAAAATTGCTTGGGGCAATTGTAGAGGCGCCTCATCCCCTACAAGTTTGAATTGAAAAAAAAAGAAAAAGAAAAAGGTGGTAGCTGTTGCAACATGGTTGAGCTTCCTTGGAATTTGAGGACAAAATTAAGGTTGGGCTTTGCATGGAGTGTCATGTTTGGACTCAGAATTGAACATCAAGCCTGATATGGAAATGGAACATCTTGGGCATAAGATTGGCTTAGCCCGATTGAGGCCTGACAAGCTTGTCAATTTTTTAATGTGTAATCAATGTTTAGTGGAGAAGTTTGCATTCTACTAGTTGGTTATATTGTTATATTAAGTAACTATAATTTTAGTTTGTTTAATTGCAATCAAATATCTTTTTTTAACAAATAGCGTTCAAGCCGGCCCAACTGAATGCCAGATGTAGCATGGGCCTTCATATTTTTGACTCACGCAGCTTCAAGAGGGGAGATTATTTGGGTATTACTCACTTCTTTTAAAATTTTCTTTTAGAATATTTTGTAAACACAATTGTGAACCATGTTTAACATTTTAATCTATACTTTAAATTTATACACATCACATTGTAAAAGTATTACAATAATTTTTCTATAAGGAAAAAAAAAACAGTTCTAAAAACACAACCAAATCGAGACCCAATCAATTATTGTGATCAAAATTGTGTCGAGTTCGTCATGATCGATAAAAGCCCATTTGACATTAGACAAAACAAATTTTTCCCACGTCATAGGCCCACGTAAAACGAGAGACGTTAGCCACAAATGTAAAATGGTTCCAACACGCAACTACTCACGCTACACATCCCATCGCCAGAATGTGCAGCTAATTAATCAAATTAATTTTTTTTTATGGACACGACAGATTTAATTCTGTGAATCACCACTGATTTAGACAGGTGCTTACGTATCCGCTGGCGAAACATTTTCAAGAAAATCTGAATATTAGAATGTAGATTAAGAGATTTGATTTCTTGACCTACACTCAAGTAGAGTTTTAAAACTCTTTTGGTGGCCAACTACTCTAGCTAGAGTAGTTGGCTATCAAATTAATTTGTTTGAATATGCATGTTTTTTAGATACATATATGTGAAAGATTCCAAGCACTTATTTTCAGCCATTTTTTTTATATCTTCAAAACAAATTTTTATCTCTTCAAAACAAAATTTTATCACAAAAGGTGCTACAAGAAAATTTTCCTAAAACAACCAGAAAATGAATACACCAGAGTTTTATAAGTTAAGTAGAAGGAAAGCAATTGACCAGAAAATGAAAATCAGAGAATACAATATGCCTTTGAATGCTTAAAACCAAAAAGGCGTGAAATAAAAGCCATGCCTGTATTTTTTTTTTTCATTAGTCGATAATAGTTTATTCTATACCTACTCTTACTCCTACTCTACAGTCATTTATTTATTTTGGTAATAGACCATGGCTTCCTTAGTTAGGGTCAACTACGTGTCATGCATATGGTTTCGTATAGCATATTTTGTATTTTGTCATTCATCATAAATTTTTTTCTCTTTTTGTCTCCAAAGTCGTTAGTCAACTCCAGCAACACTAATCTCAAACAATGCCTTCCATGTTATTATTTTTTAGGGATAAAATTGTCATATCAAATTTTACATAATTGAATCCATAGTCCTTTACATTTTATAAAATAAATTTTTTCGTCACTCACATTTTACAAAATGAATTTTTTCATCCTTCAAATTTCACAAAATGAATTTTTTGATCCCTCATTAACCATGTGTATGAATAGTTTTTTTAAAACTCATGTATATATCCATTTAGTTTTACCTGAATAGTACGAATAGCATATAATATTTTTTATTTGATTTCACATAAATAGATTAATTGTAATTATACACATGCTATTTAATAGATATATACATGGGTTTAAAACTAACAATTTTGTTTTAAACCCATGTATATATCTATTTGATTTTGTCATATGAATTTGTTCAATATTTGTGGCCTTTTCTCTTTTGGTAATAATTCATTTATTGCGTTGTATAATAAGGCTATCTAATTAATGTGTCTTAATTCGAATTCTATAGTTAAATTGCAGTTTAAATTTAAAATTTCTACTCATTACCTTTAAGACCAACAGTTGAATTACTTGCTTTGTGATTGTCTTAAAATTTGAAAGTGCCAATTATATACTTCCTTTTGTTTTACTTTTAACTTTTTTATTTTTTCTATCCAAATTTAATTCGATATAAACACTTGACAATGTTTTGGAATAAATCTCTTCTTTGTTTTCAATTTTTGAGTAACAGGAAATGAACATGAGTGAAAAACTAACAATTTTTTAAAATTCATATATATATCTATTTTATTTTAGCTAAACAGTATGAATAACATGTAATATATATCTGTTTAATTTTGTCTAAATAGGCTAATTATGGTTGTACACCTACCATTCGCATTATTTAGGTAAAATCAAATAGATACATACATGAGTTTAAGAAAAAAAAACTATTTATATACATGATCAATGAGAGATGAAAAATTTATTTTGTAGAATTGATGATGGAAAATTTTATTTTGTGAAATGTAAGGAACAAAAAAAATTCATTTTGTAAAATAGGAGGGACGAAAAAATTCATTTTGTGAATTATGAGGGACTATAAATTGAATTGTCTAAATTTTGATTTGACAAATGTGCTCTTAAAAAATGATCACGTGCAAGGCGTGTGGTGGATTTTGGTAAAAAACTAGTCAAAAACTTAGATAGGAACCAAATTTGACCACTATGAATTTGTGAGGGACGTAAAATTATACTTTTAAAAGTGAGAGATGAAAAAAGTCATTTTATATAATGTGAAGGATGTTTTGAATGATTTTTCTTATTATTTTTTATATATATTTTTACAGTCGGTATACCTAAAAAGGGGAGAAACAAAGATTTGGCTTCGAAAACTTCCAAGTCATTTTCAATTTATTTTCCTCAAAGGTACCTTTCTCAAATTTCACCGGTTTACAACAAGGATATTTTGGTCATATTGACGAATTTCACCAACAAAGGGAGAAAAATGAGAAAATAATTATCTTAGGGTTTGAAGTGCAAAATACACATACCTTAGGGGGTTTTGGTAATTAACCCCTATGGCGGCAAAGGTTCGGACGAGATGGTATAAATTTGATTGGGACTGGCTGAGCAGTGGAAAACTGGAAACTGGAAATGCCTCATTGAACGCTCCTCTCTTTTCCAAAGTCTCTATTTGCGCTGGTTTTCCAGTTAAATTCGTTTTACTACAAATACTCCTCTGTTGCCGCGAGCGAGAATGAGTTGAAAAGATGACTTTTTTGACTAAAACAATGCAGCAGGGGTTTTCCCAAGTGAAGATGTTCTTCACTAAGATGATCGGAGTAGCGGTTTGGTGTTGTTCTAAATTTTTTTTGGTAAAAAAATTGATAATAATGTTGGTTTCTTGGAATTTTTATTAATTTGTTTGCTTTTCAGTGATAGTTGAGGTTTTTTTCGGGGTTAGTTTTGATTTTGTGAGCAAATATGATGATTAAAACAAAATGAAATTGGCATGTAATATGCTGAAATTGATGAAATGTATAGAAGTACTTGATGTCTCCTAATAATTGGGGTGAGTAAATGGAATTGGAAATTATTGGAAATTATTTGTTGGTTTTAATTGAGGAAACCGAAAGATTATTCTGTTATTCGCACATTGTTATGTTTGTTTGAGTTATTGTTCATTTTCTTAAAATTGGAATTTTCAATGTGAATTAGAGTAAATTTCTTACCTTTTATCAATTCAGTGATATTTTTGGATTTCATGAACAGTTGGGCATGTTGAGTCGAAATTGGAGTTCTTTTTCATCCTTACCACTGTCTGGAGGTAATTTTTTAAAAATGTAATTCTATCATCTGAATTTAAATTTTTTATTTTCTTATTGCCGTTGTGGGATTCTGATCGGCAAAATCTTGTTTTGTTTGGAATAAACCTCTGAAAAAAAAATGAAGAGAATGAGGATGCACGAGCTAAGTTGATTGGAGATCAAGACTTGGGAATACCAAAGCCCCAACGTGGATTCAACTTGAAGGAGCTCAAGGATGAGGTCTGTTTCTCTAGTATGATCTTCAATAGCAACATGTAATATTCTTCCGTGTTACTGATTAGTTAAGATAGATGAATACTTATATTAGGTCTGTTTATTTTGTGCATTGAACTTGCTCTGGTTGTAATAGGCTACAAGGGGCTTCCTGTTTGATTTACTCTGAGATTTGCGTTTTTTTGGATTATACAGATATAAATCCATGTAGAAAGACTTTGTGGAATGCCTGCTGGCTTATTATTCTTTCTCTTCAAGTTTCAGATTACCATTCTTGATAAAAATGAAACGTTTATGGAATTTTGGTTTTTGACTCCGAAGTTCTTTAACTGCCATATGATTGTTTGTAGATTTTGCTAGTACTGTCAGATTAAGTAGTATGGAACAATTTAGATTTTCTATTTGGTTATCAGTGCATTGAGCTCCATGGAGTTTTATTATTCATGCCATCATCTCATTTTAGAGTTACTTTTCCCTGCTGGTAAATCTAGGATAAAATCCTAGTTGGTAAATCTTCTAGTAATTAAGGGTGTGCCATTTTCTGGATTGAGATTCAGTGAAAATTAACTTTAGATACATCTTTCACTATTTCAGGGCAGCATTATTCACTTATCTACTATGTGGAGACTAAAGGTATTTACTGTTTTCGGCAAACTATGCTGCAGGCTTGTAGAACATTACGTGAAACTCCTGCAAATTTTTGCCAAGCTCCAGAGAAATGGAACAATTTATCAGCTCAGAAGGGAGGCAGTGAGAATTCAAGATGTAGATCATGGATGACCAATACATCTGTTGAGGAACGCGACTTAGAAGTGAAATTTGAGCAGCCCCTGACACCAGTGAAATGTTGTGGGCGGTGGGTAAAGGTTTCTGGTTCATTGGAGCATAAATCTAGCAGGTATAATACCTGGCCTCCCTATTAGTCTTTAGAATGTGTCATATTTGGGCATGACGTAGCATGGTAACTTACAAGGTATTGCAGAACTCTCAATTTTTTTTCTGTACTACATAAATTCTAATCTGTTCTCTTTTCTTACCTCTTCTTTGGTTTTCTTTTTTGTCTCTAGATTTCTCCCCTACATGGTTTTTATAATTTACTAGACATAGCTCAAGTAGAACTTTAAGCTTATTCTACTAATTTGGTTGAACATAAACTTTATAACTTTTATTGGTTTTCCATCCCTGTTTTTATTTATTATGGTTTGTATAATTCAGTAGGCAGATGTTGGTTCATGTATAATCTTTTTGTTTGGAGTTAAAAAAGGAGTAAGTCTTTTTTTTGAACAGCTCTAAGGAAAGCACTAGGTATTCCATGGGAGAGTTTGTTATAAAAGCTGATCATTGTCTGTGCCTTCCGAATTCCTTACTATACAGTGGTTTATGGTAGTTTATCTTGCTCCAAACATCAGAACATTCCTCTGTTTTATTTGCCATTACTTGAAACTTCAATGGTTCTTGACATTTTTTCATGTTTTGATTCTGAAGTTGCATGACTAATAGGCAAACTGCTGGAAGAGTTTCTACTAGCTCAACTGAAGGCAAAGAAATTGAGGATGCTGGATCCGTCGAACTTATTGCTAGTTCGAGAAATGGCCTTACAGGTTCATTAGCTACACCCAGGGATATTTCTCCATTCATAATAGGTGAGAACAAGTCTGTGGAGTTTGATTGTTACTCTGATACTTCTTCAGTTACATCAGAAAACTATTCATCTGAAACATCTACTCAAAGCTTGAATCAATCTGGATCAGCAAGCAATTTAAGTACCGCAAATTCTTCCTGTTATCCAACCCCAATCAAACTGTCTGATAAGATGCAAACATCTGGAATAGTTTTCCCTGTATATCTAGATGCTTTTGGACAGGACAAAAATACTCGTATCACATCTCTGTATTTGTATTCTGTCTTGAATCCTGTTGAGAATTTCTCTCAGTGGAAACAGTTGAAGAATGAAGATACTAATGATCATCAGAACAGTCACATTAAAGAACCTTGTGTACGTGTTGATAAGGAAACTCCTATGTCAGATGTGGGGACAGGTGGAACTTCAGCGGGACAAGAGTTGAAGGTAGAGGCAAGCTGGTCCTCTTGGTCCTCTTGGCCAAGAGCACTTTTCCGAGATCCTGATGGTGATCCCGAACATAATGAGTTTGCTGCTGGTGAAAACTCCCATTGTCGTAGAATTCAAGTAGATAGGTCCATTCTTGGGATGGATGCCTCTGACTGGGATAAAGATGAATCTCATGTTTCACCCAAATGGTGGAATGGGAATGGAGTTCCCAACTCAACAGACAAATACAAAGAGGTTTATCCTTCTGTCTGATCTTTTCTTTCTTAACTGCCTATGTTGATATTTTCTCCTCCCTTCTCTTCTCTTAACAATGGCGATTTTTTTGTGCATTTTTATTCGCTCATACTTTTTTATTGATGATAATTAATTTGGTTCAGATTTTTTTTTTTTTTAAATTGTGAGCTGGTTTTGATGGTTAAAGGCCACTGAAAAAGAAATTACTGGAAACATGTAATAATTCCCGATATATTTTGTTTCGGTGATAATTGAAATTAGTAGATTTTAGTTTATAGCGTTGTAGTTGTTTTCTGGAATTTTGGGTAAAGTAATATTATATATAATCGTTAGTTTTTCTTAGGATTTTATATAAGTAGGTTTAGTTTTGATTCAGGAGCTAGTTTGATGATTAAGAATTAAAAGAAAGTGAAATTGGAATACGATGTCCTGAAATTGGTGAAATGACTAGAAGTATGTGATGTTGCCTGGTACTTCCCTTCTTGTTTATTAAAAGGAATTGGGGTGAGTAAATGGAATTGGAACTTACGGGAATTTTTTGTTGCCATTAATTGAAGTAAGCCTGAATGTTATTGTGTTTGACATCTCAGTTTTTCTGTTTGGGTTATAATTCTTTAGTTAATTTGAATTTTAAATGTGAAACAGAGTAAATGGCTTAGGTTTTTTTTATTTGTTTGTGTTCTTGGATCTTATGATCAGATAGGTGCAGTGACTGGAAATCTGAGTTCTGTAACATCATTACAGCTGTCTGAAGGTACTTTGATTTGTGATTCTTTGGTTAAGTTTTCAGTTTTATTATTGCGTTTGTAGGATTCTGATGGTCCTAATCTCGTTTTGTTTTGGACAAAACTCTGAAAAGATAAAGAGAATGATGGTACACCAACCAAGTTGAAGGAAGATCTACACTTGGGAACACCAAGGCCTAAACGTGGATCTGACTTGAATGAGCTCAAGGATGAGGTTTGTTTCCTCTAATATAATCTTCAGTACTAAAATGGAATATAGTGTCTTGTTACTGATTAGTTAAGTTAAATGAGATAATTAAATTAGGTTTGTTAATTTTGTGCATAGAATTTGTTCTGGTTGTCATTGGCTACAAGATGGTCCCAGTTTGATCTCCTTTCAGTTTTGTATTTTTTGGACGTTACAGATCCATGTCTTTGCAGAAAGAATTTGTGGAATATCTGTTGGCTTAGGCTTCTTTCTTTCCAACTTTCTTATTACCATCCTTGACAAGAATGAAATATTTATGGTGTTTTGAATTGATACTGTAGAGTTCCACAACCATCATATGAATGTTTTTAGACTTTGCTACTGTTGTCAGCGGGTGTAGGATTTAACAATTGAGATTTGTTGTGGTGGTTCGCAATGGATTGAGATTCACAAGTGAAACAGTGTAAATTCTTCATTCAAATTCTTTTGGAATTCCATGATCAGGTGGGTGCGGTGACTGGAAATCAGACTCCTTTATCATCAGCACTATTGTCTGAAGGTATTCTCTCATGTGATTCTGTGTTATTTATTTGATTTTCTTATTGTGTTTGTGGGATTCTGATGCGTGAAATCTTGTTTTGTTTTGGACAAAACTTCGCAAAATTGAAGAGACTGATGGTACTCCAACTAAGTTGAAGGAAGATCAAGACTTGGGAACGCCAAAGCCTGAACTGGAGTCCAATATAAAGAAGCTCAAGGATGAGGTCTGTTTCTCTAGTATGATCTTCAATGCTAAGATGGTAGATCCCTTCTTGTTTTAAGTCAGACTAATTCATTAAATTTGGTCTGCTTATTTTGTGCATTGAACTTGTTCTGGTCTAGAGTCCTCTCTTTTCAAGTTTTGTATTATTGTTGTTGATAAGATTAAAATGTTATGGCCTTGTTATGGCAGAGAACTTTGGGCATAAGTTTAAGAATTCTGTAATTGTCATATGCATGTTTCTAGGTTTTACTAGTACTCTCTGCCTGGGTAGCATGGAATGGTTGAGATTTGCTGTAATAGTTACCAGTGGATTGAGATCCATGGAGCTTTGTAATTTATCTCAATTTAGAGTTATTTTTCCCTGCTGTGAATGCTTGGATATAATTTTAGTCGGTGTATATTCTGATTTTAAGGTGTGGGCTATGTGCTGGATTAAGTTTCAGGGAAGAATACACAAGTGCAAAGAGGTTTCACCCAAATGGTGGGATGGGAATGGAATTCCCAATACAACACACAAGTACAGAGAGGTATATCTCTCTGTCCTAATCGTTCCTTTCTTCTCTTCCTATTTTGAAGCTTTCTTGCCTCTTTCTTTTCTCATAAAAAATGAAGAAGAAAGCTGGTAAATTTGATTATTATGCAGGATCGGAAAGTTTGTTGGCATGAGACTCCTTTTGAGGAGAGACTAGAAAAAGCCTTGTTTGAGGAGACTTTCATCCGGCAGAGGTATGCATGGCTTCTTGTGCCTCTTAGAAATTAGTGTTGAATTTCATTATCAATCTTTTTGGTACAGTCCTGTAGAGGTTAATAATGTGCTAAGCTGTGTCTGTAATTTTTTTTTAGCTGGGCATCAAAGACATTAGTTTCTCACTGTTCGGTCTTTAAAGCATATTCCTGAACGGCTTCTCTGTGTCTGAAAATTTTGACATATTTTGTCTCTGTTCAGGAACTCCTCAAAGTCTAAGAGATTGTGATAAGATTTGGGCGAATAACTCTATTTTGTTTTTTCTAAACCAAAGAAAACGATCAGTGAAATGCTATTTTCAATGAATTTATTTTGTTCCTGCTATTCATGATTGAGATAATTGGGATTCTACGTTTTTTTTTTCTTTTCTTTTCTTTTTTCTTTGGTGAATTGTAGGCGTCAAACCAGCAGGGCGATAAATTTTGGAAGCAGCTGAATTGAGGTATTGGTTAAACTAAGTGGGCTGGAAATTCCTTGTTCTGTGCTTATCAGGAGTTTGATGTTTAATATTCTGCTCTTGTTGAACAAAACTTTTAATTTAATTCCTGCAATTTTTTAATTTTTATTTTTTAAGTTTTTGTAGATTGTAGGCATTAAACCAGGAGGGTGGTACAAGCAGATTTTTATCGCTACCTTCAAGCATTTCAAGACTGTAGTTTGAGCATAGTGTTTGTACAGCCAAGTGAATCGGAAATTTATTAGTATTACATGCTTGGACGGAAGATTGTGTTATGGATAGATAAATCGGCATATAATCAATATATCTGCTTAAGTTGTACAAAAGATACTTTGTACTGCATGCTTAGACCATGAGGAAAGATGAGGAATTGTAGATCATCTACCCTGTCCAATTTCCGTTGCCTTGATGAGTAGCTTTGTATATCAGGATATTCTCTTTAGACCATCACTTATTTTCTTGTGAAATACTATGCATGAATACCAATATCAGATTGGTCTTACTGAACCTCGCATTGGCATTTCCGTGATTTGTCAGGTTCACTTAACCATCTAAAGTAGGCACCTGAACCGTCTTTATCGTGCATAATAATACATCCCCAAGAATAAATTGCGCAGGCATCGCCATTAGTGGTACTTTGCCATCTTGGCCATTTCCATTGCCAAATTCCATTTGCGCAGCCATTATCATTCACGGCATTTCCTCTAGCCATTTTAAACTCGGACCCCTTGCTCTTTTCCCTAGAACAATTATAGAACTAAGATAACTTCAAATTGAAAAATCCACCATCAAGCTCTACCAGACTAAGGCCTTGGCTGCCTCGTCATACTCTTACATGTATTCTGGGGTCTGACTTGTGAGTCAAAACATAAAAAACGCAAAAAATATGGGTTGAGTAACATGTGGCTCAAACACAGCACTTACCACCATTGTTGAGCTATGCAGTTCTCTTTTTTCTAAGACCTAACCTTTTTGTTTTAAGTGTAAGTGCGAGCTATCAAATTCGGTACCTCTTATTTATACTTCCTTCTTCTATGTGATTCAACTCAATCCTCCCCCGAGCTATGCAGTTTATTTATACATATAAGTTAAAAATAAAATGGCGCATGCAATTCTTGCAAAGCTTTTAAAATATACGCAGAAAAGATGGTTTTCCAAAGTACAAATAACACTTTCATGTTCATAACTTGTTAATAATGGTAGTCATGGAAATCACATGGACATCTTATTTGTTTAGCGGCTTTTAGTAGAAACAAGGTTAATTACTGGCTTTGAATGCTTAGTCAAGTGTGTATTTATGCTAGATGGGCAGCAAAGATGTCCAGTAAAGGTTAAACATGACCTAGCATTGCATCTAAGAGGTTGCGCAAAGACTACACTTGGCCACGTATTTTTATTACCTCCTCTAGTGTCCAAAAAACTTTTATTTGGCTAAACTTGGCAAAAAAGTATATAGAAGTCCAAAATTTAAGCTTTAAAGACCAAATTGGCTAAATAAAAGTTTAGGAAATAACCTATCCTAGTCAAAAGTTTGAGGACTAAGTAAACGATTTTCCTTCACAGTTATTTGACTTAGCCCCAATACCATTTAGCTTCAATTAAATTCTATAAAAATTTGCATTAGTCAAAACTTTCTCTATAACACCAATGGAGTGGGCTGAGGCGAGGGTTTAAATGAAATGCTGAACGGTTTGAAGGTTCATTTCATCTAAAAAAAATGAAGGTAGTTTAAGTTACACTGCTCTAGATCTCAAATGTCTCTTCTCACTTGATAAAAAAAAATATGGAACAACAAAATTGCTTCACTCCACATGTTTCTCAATGCATAATGAGTTGTGAACTTGTGATTGAGGAGAAGCTGAATTAGGTAAGGACAAGATAGTGATTAATGCTGGTTGGGATATAAGTTGGTCTGTTTTTTTTTTCTCGGAGGGTATTTTTGTCATTTGAGTTAATAAACATGTAAGCCACATATCTATATTGGTATAGTTTAAACGTTTATAAGCGGAAGAGTATGATATATTGCCAGTTATCAATATCCATTTTGACCCTATGATCATTGGAAGATTATATGCGCGTGAATGAGAGCAGTAGAAATTCGTTTTCGATTCCTAGTGTATTCATCCTAAATTGGATTGTAGAGAGACACTGCAAATTCGTTGTTGTATCTTAAGCTGTATCTTTTTGAAAATATATTATTATGGAAGGGTGATATTCGTTGGATTAGTCAATTGGGTAGTGCTTTGTGTTTTGTTTTGGACTATGGTAGTCTCAAGGCCTCAAATGCCTAGTTCCATGATCAATTTATTTTTTTTATAGAGATTTTTATTTGGATTAATCTTTCCTACATTAACAATATATATACTTGAATTTAAAATTCAACTTTTGTACATATGTCATGTGTCCAATGATAATAATGCATACAACATCTGTGTATATAAGATTTAATCTTCTTATTTTGGGTATTGGAAGGGCATCTGTATTACATTGTCTTGGGCTTATGGTCCAGTTCATTTGATGGGTCAAACCACAACTTAAACACATTAGATTTCCAAGTCAATTTATGACTCAGATTATGTCATGTCCTAGTCAACTTGATTAGGACAAGTGGCCGTAGGTTTTCATTCTTAAAATGAGAAGAAAAGCTTCAGCCGCTTTTGGGAGAGAAAAGAAGAGAGAGAAATTTGAGAGAGAAACAACGTCAAAATCTTAATTGGAGGGTGATTCAAAACTCAATTGAGACGAAATTTTACCCACGCGATCCTCTCATCAAACTTTACCTATCTACTGGTTCATATTTTGGATGTTCTCTTTGTTTGGTAACATCTTTCCAAATCCACTTCTTTAACAGTTGTAGTTTTTGGGGGTAATTTTGTAACATTTTGTTTGGTTGATTTTGATGATATTCTTGTCATCCAAATATTTCGGGTAGACTTGTGTATTTTTTTTTTTTGTGATAGTGGAGTTTTTGACTAAACTAGGTCTCGTGATTTTTTTTCAATTTGGATTTTCTATATTAAAAATTTCGGTGTCGTGTGCCTTTTATTTTTCTATATTTTATTATTACTGTTAGTATCATTGTTTGGTGATTTGATTTATTCCCATTTTAAGTGGTACTTGGGGAAAGAGTAATTTATTTTGGATTAACTCTGATATTGTGTGCTTGCACCGGTACCCCTTTCTCAACAAAGCGGTATTAGAGTAGTCAGGTTAGGCTGCTTATTTATACTGGTTAAAATAGATGATTTGGATAGTAGTTGTCTAATAAAATTGAATGTAACTAATTATTTGATTTAGAAGTCTAGAATGAAAGACTAGTATTGTAGAGATTTGTTTGAATCTGTTTTAGGGGATAAGAGTAAGTCATGTGATATGAGTGATGAGAAGTGGGCTGTTATGCAAAAAAAAAAATGTTGATAATATTAGAAAGTGGATTGGTCAGAATATTTTTCAGCACTTTGGTAATGAAACTAGAATTAATGCACTGTGGAAAAAGTTAGAAAGTAAGTACGAAAAGAAGACCGATTTAAATAAATTCTCATGTCTGAAGCAAATTACTTGGACGAGACACAAAGATGGTACAGATATGACTGAGCATCTGAGTAATTTTCAGAGCTTGATAAACCATGCAGCTATGTTGAACTTGAACTTGGATGATGAGGTGCAGGTTTTGCTATTGTTTAGTTCACTGTCGGATAGCTGGGAGACAATGATGGTTTCTATCAGTTATTCACCTCCAAATGGTATGTTGACCAAGGATATAGCAAAAGATGCTGTGATGAATGAAGAACTTAGGAGGAAGGAACAAGAAATTGTGAATGAATTCCAAGTCCTGGTGATAGAAAAGAAAGAAGGAAGGAGGAAAAGTAAAAGTAGAGGACCCCATAACAGAAATGACAAATCCAAAGACAAGTCTGAATCACAAAAAAATGATGCATGCTTTTATTGTAAAAATAATGGGCATTATATGAAGGAGTGCAGAATCTTAAAACAGGAATAAGTTGAGAAAAAAGGCAAAGGCAAGGCGAAAAAAAAATGATAAAGAAACTACATCAGTTGTGGCTGCTCATGAAGATATGTTTGTGTTCTGCAATGATGGTCATGTAAATATTACTTGTCATGACAGTGAATGAATAGTTGATTCGGATGCACCCTACTATGTTACTCCTCATGACATTTCTTCTCAACCTATGCCAAAAGAGACTTTGGTTATGTTAGGATGGGAAATGGGGTCTCGTGTAAAGTTATTGGCATGGGAGACATGTATTTAGATACAGATATCGGGTGCCAACTAGTCTTGAGAAATACTCGACATGTTCTTGATATTCGTGCTTATCTCATTTCTATAGGAAAACTTGATGATGAGGGTTACCATAACACGCAAAGTGGAAACAAATGAAAACTTAGCAAAGAAAATCTCGTCGTTGTCGGAGAAGAGAAGTAGTGTACCCTTTACTTAATGCAAGTCAAGTTGGAGAAGGGAGAACTAAATATAGTTCATGATTCTTTCATTGACCTTTGTCATAGACGACTTGGGCATATGAGTGAAAAGGTGATTCAGACACTTGTACTCAAACAGTTCCTACCTGAAGTCAGAGGTAATGCACATAAACCTTGTGTTGACTGTATTTATGGAAAAAAAACACAAAATTGCATTTCAAAAATTTTCTCCATCTAAAAAATTGAATCCGTTAGAATTGATGCACATTGATATTTGTTATCTAAAAGATAAGTCTTTTGGTGGTGCTATTTATTTTGTAACTTTTATTAATGACTTTGCTAGAAAAGTCTGGTATATTGCTTTGAAAATTCAAAGATCAGATTTTAAATGTGTTAAAAAATTTTCATAATAAAGTTGAAAGGGAGACTGACAAACAGTTAAAGTGTGTTTGTGCTAACAATGGTGGTAAATATAGGGAATCATTTGAAAGTTACTCTAAGTCTCATGGGATCAGACTAGAAAAGACAATACAACAAACTCCTCAAGAAAATGGAATTACAAAGAGAATGAACAGATCCATCATTGAGCGGGTTAGATGCATGCTCTTCAATGATAAACTACCAAAATTATTTTGGGGGTGAGGCAATAAGGACTGCAGTTGATTTGAATAATCTTTCTCTGTCAGCTCCTTTGGATGGTGACATCCTAAAAAGAGTATGGACAGAAAAAGATATGTCCTTTAAATATTTGAGAGTTTTTTGTTG